AACCCCAAAAAAAAAAAAAAAAAAAAAAAAAAAAAGAATTATATTATTGTTGTCATTTTCCTTGGTCATGAGAGCAACATAAAATTTCATACCCTATATTTTAAAAGAAATACTAGAGCCATAGTATTTTCTGAGTTTTTAAATAAAATCTTCACAAAAATTTAATGATACACAGAATTTCACTGGATGATGAATATTGTATACATCATTTTAAACTGGAAAAAAATTCTTTTTAAATACTCATCATGCTTATTCTTTCTGTTGTTGCTGTAGTTGCATTGCTAGGGATAGAACCTAGTGCGTGGCAGGCAAGGTCTTGACTACTGAGCTGTGCCCTCAGCCCTTCTTTGGATATTTCGTGTAAGTCTTCATCAGAATGTACGACTACCTTCCTGTTATCTGTATCTTACTCTTTTAAATGTGCTTAGGTGTTTTAAATAGTCACCATCAATCTTTTGGATTCATATGAGATTTAGGAATTCCCACTTATGATACGTGGAACTTACTACAACCTGCTAAGAAAGCTGTAATGGGGCCCCTGAGGACTGAGCCACTGCTGGCTGCTAAAGTGTTTTGGAGTCTGGCCTCCTAGAACTAGAAAGTGCTTCAGTGTTAATATCTGGACTATTCTTCCTATTGGTGCTTTAAAATTTTTTTTTATATAATGTTAATGACCTGTGCTTTGACAAGCCAAACATCACGGAAACACAAGAAACTTTAGTAACCTGTACCCAGCTCCTGTAGAGTCCCACCACCTCCCACCCAGGGAATTGAACAATTGCAGCCTTCCGTGTCTTCTTTCTCAACACTCATCTTAGAACATACATACATATAAACATTCAAAAATTGTTCACAAGTCACACCCCACATACACTATCCACAGAGCCTCTTTCGTTTAGTAAATGTATGAGACCTACAGAGCAATAATGCATGCCTAACATCCTTTTTAAAAGCTGCATAGTAGTACATGGTGTCGGTGTATAATTTTTTCCGCCGTTCCTTACGATGGACACCTAGCCTGTTTAAAGGTGGATTTGTTTCGCCATTATGCATACATAATGTTTTTGTTTCGTTTTGGTACCAGGGATCAAACTCGGGACCTTGCACTTTTGAGGCAGGCTGCAGAACCACTGAGCTGAATCCCCAGCCCACATAATAATGTTATAAAGATTCTGAAATATATACATATTAGTTTGTATTCTCCTAGGATACATTCTTCTAAGAATCTCTATGTGGACGTATGAACTTTCAGGAGCGATTTCCGGTTTAATTTCCCAAAAGACGATAGCAGTTGGGATTTTCATTAGTTCTAGATTGGATTGACAACTTCAGCCCCTCCTCCAGCAAAATTAATTCCCATGGCTCTTTTTCTTTCTTTTTTTTTTTTTATTTTTTGGTACCGGGGATTGAACTCAGGTCCTTGTGCTTGCGAGGCAGGTGCTGGAACCACTAAGCTAAATCCCCAGCCCATCTCATGAATCTTGATGGTTAAGGATCTGAAGCTGAAAAAAAATCTCAATTAACTTATAGTTTCGCCCAACTAATGAAGGTAAGCACATTTTGGGGGGTTTCATGATAATTTGATTCTTGCTTTGAGAATTGTCCTGTCTTTCATTGCATCATTGGTCTTACTTAGCGAATAACAGGAGAAAGTTATATGTAAGGGAAAACGATGCTGGACCCAGCACATAGGGCAGAAATATTTTGCTTCAATCTACCATTTGCTTTTCAGTTTCATTTATGAAATCTTTCCCAAATTACTTAGAAATAATCACGAGATTGTTTTGTTAGCAGGGCATATTTCCGATGGAGAATAAATTACACCTACACCATTTATTCAATTAATTTTGCATTACCCTGAGTTGAAATGCCAAGTTGGTTATTTATCAAGTTATCTTATATCTTTAGACTTGTTCTTGTCCCCTATATTGTATTGCATTTCTTTATTAATATCTCTCCTGTGCTAAATCATGGCAGAGAGTTTTATACTACAATGACTAAATAAGTCAAATAATAGTGTTACTTTGTTGGCTGTGAATAGACAGTTCTTAAATGCTGTCATCCCAGTAGATCTAAAATGCACATGAATACCATTTTATCACAGTGGCTTCATAATAAATTTTAATATATGGCAAGGCAAGATGGTTCCCATCCATCAGCTGTATGGGTAATCATGAGCACACGCAAGCATACACATTTTCTTCTAAAATAATTGGCTTTTCTCAGATATTGATATTTTATATAAATTTATGTTTATTTCATTTGTGATACTGGAACTTGAACCCAGGGCCTTTGCACTGAGCTACATCCCCAGCCCCCCCTTTTTGGTACTGGGGATCAAACTAGGGTCCTTGTGCTTGTGAGGTAGGCGGCGGAACCACTGAGCTAAATCCCTGGTTTATTTTGATTAGGGCTTTGCTTGCTTGTTCATTTTACAGGTCTGGGGATCAAACCCAGTACCTGACAATGTTAGACAAGGGCCCTACCACTGAGTTGCATCTCCAGCCTGTGGCTAGTTTTAAATATGAATATTATTGTTGGTTTTGCATTCAATTTTTCATCCATT